ACTGAACATGAGCTGGCAGTGTGCGCTCGCGGTCCAGAAGGCCAAGCACATCCTGGGCTGCATCAAGAGAAGCGTGACCAGCAGGTCGAGTGAAGTGATTCTCCCCCTCTACTCTGCTCTTGTGAGACCCCACCTGGAGTGCTGCATCCAGCTCTGGGCACCAAACACGAGAAGGACATTGAGGCATTGGAGCAGGTCCAGAGGAGGGCCACAAAGATGATCGGAGGGCTGGAACACCTCCCCTGTGAGGACAGGCTGAGAGAGTTGGAGTTGTTCAGCCCAGAGAAGAGAAGGCTCCAGGGGTCCTTATAGCGGCCTTTCAGTACTTTAAGTACTTTCAGTACTTTAAGGGGGCCTAGAGGAGAGATGGGGAGGGACTTTTTACAAGGGCATGTAGCAACAGGATGAGGGGTAATGGATTTAAACTGGAAGAGGGCAGATTTAGACTGGATATAAAGATGAAATCCCCTACTGTGGGGGTGGTGAGGCACTGGAACAGGTTTCCCAGAGAAGCTGTGGATGCCCCATCCTGTTCAAGGCCAGGCTGGATGAGGGTTTGGGCAACCTGGGCTAGCTGGATGAGGCTTTGAGCAACCTGGGCTAGTGGAGGGTGTCCCTGCCCATGGCAGGGGGGTTGGAACTAGATGATCCTATCACTACACTCCCTGATAAAGAGTGCCTCCCCATCTTTCTAATAAGCCCCCTTCAGGTACTGGAAGGCTGCTATAAGGTCTCCTCGGAGTCTTCTCTTTTATAGGCTGAACAACTCCAACTCTCAGCCTGTCCTCGTATGGGAGGTGCTCCAGCCCTCTGACCATCTTTGTGGCTCTCCTCTGAACCCGCTCCAAGTCCGTGTCCTCCTTATGTTGGAGGCCCCAGAGCTGGACGCAGCACTCCAGGTGGGGTCTCACAAGAGCAGAGTAGAGGGGCAGAATCAACTCGCTTGACCTGCTGGTCATGCTTCATTTTGATGCAGCCCAGGATATGGTTGTCTTTCTGGGGTGCAAACACACATTGCCAGCTCATGTTTGTTTGCTTCAAGTCAGACTCAGAACAAGATTACAAGTGGCCTGCTAACAGTGCCTCCTAAGTAAATTATTTAGCTACATTTGCTCTGTTTGTCTATCATAAAAATACACGAGTCTGAAAATAATTTAAACTTTTAAGAAAATGGTTTTGTCTGTTGGCCTCAAAGCTTTTAGGATAATCACTACTAATTAAGTTGTACGGATGAGGAAAAAGTAAGACGTATCAATTAAGTGATTTGCCTGGAGATACTGATCCAGTAGATATGGCTTGGACTTGTAAGAAAGGTAACTTTGAATGCAGTTTCACCCTAGTTTGTATTATGTGGCTTAGCTTTTCTATTGATTTTCTGTACCTATAAATGTGTAATATGTTGCCGATATAATAAAAGAGTGAAGAATTTAAAAAAATGTTCTCTGGATCAGGTTAGTGACTGAAGCTTAGAAGAAAAGCAAGGTTTCCTCCTAAAAACATGGGACAATTAATTTGATGGTAACTTGAAAAAAATCTTACAGGTTTAACATTTGAAAAAAGTAGAGGGTGCAGTGTAGTTTGGGAATTCAGCTGTTTGAAGTACCCTGGTTATAAGCATATTAGTTGCACCTGAAATAATAACATTATCCAGCTAAGAACTAGATGCTCCTTCAACACCCTTTCTGGCAGGCATTCTGATTAGTTGAATTCTAACATTTTTATTTCATTTGTGATTTTTCAGGAAAATCAGGAAATAGTATTCCAAGTAATATTATTTTAGGCTTTTAGAAAGTAATGTGACATTGCAGACTTCAGTGCTGGAGTTGCAACATGCATAATAAGCTCATGGAATCTGGAATAATCTATTTATTCACAAACAGGACTGGACATAGTAAACTACCTTTTAGTGTTGTGTGAAAGTAAACTTAATTACTATAGCCTTTTAGTCGTGGGATGTTGTAGTCCCAATTGTGTTGAATCTCTCATGATTTAGTAATTTATCATGTAGTGCAGTTGCAAACTGAGATTGAGAGCAGGAGATTATTTTAGGCTAATTCAATTAAATGGTCCCTTCAGTTCCTGTTTTCTGAAATGGTCTTAAAAATGTGCTAGTATACACGTACATTGCAGTATCTTTTGAAAAATCAGTGCAGTCTTTCTACTTGCTTGTACATAATTATTACATTTGGTACTAACAATGATAGGAGAAAACCTGTTTGCTCTTTTGTCGGTGCTCAACAGTGCATTGACTCATTTTTATTTATTTTTGAAAAGTGAGATTTTCTATCTAGATAAGGAAATTGACCTGAAAAGGTCAATATCCTGTTTTCTCTGACCAGTGTTTCAAAGAAAGACAAAAGGTGTCATTATTTTTGTTCAAAATTAAGTCATAAAATTGTTCAACTGTTAAAGTAAGACAGGGGGAGGATTGTCACATTTCAAGTTAGCTGTCTCCTTCCCCATTCACTTGCACATATATGTGTGCATATATATATATTTCTGCCTGCTTGAAGACTTATCCACAAAGAATATTTAATGTTATGTTTTTTTACTTAGCTTTAAATTATGAGTTGAGAAGAAAAACGGTAGAAGGACGTTTTCTGGGAAACGTCCTGTATTTCTGTTAAGTTTAAAATGCAACTGCACAACTAAAACAATAAATGCGAAAGAGAGTTTGAGTCCTTTTGCAATGTAACATTTAGCATCAGAGTCATTTTCTTTATATGGAAGAAAGGTAAGAGTGCTTTGATGAACTGCTGTTATAGACCATTTCAGACAATGAATTGGTTAATTCAGTTGGGTTTAAATTTAAGCTGTTTTTCATGGAACAAATTTATTTAGTTTTATTTCATTTTAGCATCTGTTATATAAGTAGTGACATAGTTTGTTAACTGAATTATCTTGTTTTACACTAATTGTTTTGCAATTATGTAGTTAACAATCTTAGTATACCTTCTGTTCCTGGCAGGTGAAACAATGGTAGATGAACAAAGGAGGCTCATCTCTGCCTTTAGCTTTCAGAAATTACCACCAATTTTAACCTATTTGCTCCTGTTAATTAATTTTGTCTTTAGGGTTCCTCCAGTTTCTGTGCTTAAAGTACAGAGCTTTCTTGGGGTTTGTTGAGCGCTTTCTTTAAACCACTAATGGAATAGCTTATCAGGAAGAAAGAATGCATGTCATTGCTTTTGACTTTTCCTTTCGTTTTAATTGATAGTGTCCTCAACAAGGCTTTTTCCGCTTGTTTGTTTTCAGATATTTTTCTGAGTATTGCATACCTTTCTTGCACTGTTCCTGACCTTCCTTATTCTCTTAAGCCTTCCTTATTCTCCTTGGCCTTCCTTATTCTCTAAGCTATGGTGCTTAGGGACATGGTTTAGTGAGTTAGGTGGTGTTGGGTTGGACTTGATGATCCTTGAGGTCTTTTCCAACCTTAATGATGCTATGATTCTATGATTCTCCTTATGTCTTGGTTAAACTGTGACACTATTTTGCCTGCAAATATGTCCTGCAAACCATGAGGACCTACACATGCTTTGAGTATTACTGTGGAGAAGAGTTAGTGTTTTTTAGTTGAGTCTCTTAAGAAAATGGAGAAGGTGAGGAGCAAGAAAGAAGGTAAAACAAGTGTATTTTTGGAAGAGTGCTCTGAAGGGACGGCAGAAGTATCTGGAGGGAATATGAGTGGAGAGAAAAGGAAGAAAAACACCAGATTCCAGATGAAAGGTTCTCTAAGTAGGAAAGGGGAACCAAGTAACATCGAGAGGTTCCCCCTTTCTTTCACTTTTCCTCGTGCCCTACTGCACCATGTGATTGTTTATACTGAAGATCCCACTTCCACATATTGACCTCCTCATACACACACAGTACAAAAATATTGTGATTTTCTGTAATCGTATTGTCACCAAATTTCTACATAGCGCTTCATTTGTCAGCTGCTTGTATGTCTTAATTTCCTGTAAAAAAGTAGTACAGGTTGCACAGGAGGAAGAGACAGTGGAGTTCTGGGGGGAAGGAAGTGCTGACTGAAACTTTGGTGGTAGCGAGGAAACAACTTTGTCCATGCTGTCGTACCACCACTTTGTGGATTGTGCCTATTTTTTTACCTGCTTTCTGGTGTACCGAGACTAGTTTGTCTTTTTGATGCAGTGTGTTTCTAAAGGGACACTCAACTCTCCTAATACCCTTTTTGAAATGTGGAGAGAACTGAAGGAGTAACACTATCTGAACTAGTGTGACCTTATTCTTTGTCTGATGATTACTGAACTGCAAACAAGAGTGGAGACGAGAGCTTTCCATGTGCTAATTCCTCAAGGCACAAATAGAGCTCAGTTCTTCACGTATTCCTCCATATCTGAAGATCCTTTGCCTATAAGCCTTCCTCTGCCTCTGAAACTCTGCTTGCAAAGCTGCCTTTATCACTGTTCATCCCCAAGCCCTTGTCTGACTCTAGGTTTTCTTCTTATCTGTTGTAACTCAACTTATCTGCGGCTGGGTAGCAAGAGAGATTTTAAAGATGCAAGTGAACAACAACGCATTTTGTCATGCTTCATCTACAGTGGTACGTAACCGCTGGATTTTAGCACTTGCCTTATTTAGTTTGGTGAAGCTTAGAATACGGCAAGAGAAATTGATGATTTAAACCAACAGGAAAAAAGGTCCAAATTATTAAAAGGTATTTGTGAAGTTTAATCATTTTGCTGACTAGAAAAACTGAAAGAATTCAGAATTTGTGTGTGATGTGGGAAACTTGTGTATTCTGTGGATACTGTTTAATTTTATTAAATAATTCTTCTTATTTAGACTGCAGTAAATTCATCATGATATGTCAAATTCCCTGAAACAAGTGTAAATACTTGCACATGCTTCATGCATACACGTATATGCAGAGATGGGAGATGGAGCTGCAGCGTGAGGTCTTACTTCTGCAAAGCCTCTAAGCAGAGCTTCTGCCTCAGCTAGTCGGTGAGAGAAGCCAAGGAAAGAGGCAATGCTGGTCCCAGTCCCACATAACACTGCAGCGTGGCAGAAGGTCAGGTCTAAATGAAGTTTCGTTACGGTGGTTGAAGCCCAGAGGTCCCTGTAGAAGTCATGGGATGTACACACTCTGTCTGTGAGGAGCAAATGCACCAAACAAGCAAATGTCTGAATGAACTTGAGCTCTGCAGTGTTCCTGACGTTAAGTGTACCTCTTGTCTAACAGATGCAGACAGGCAAGATTCTATCAATCTTTTTCTGGGAGTATTCAAGCCTACAGAAGGAAAACCTCATCTCTGGGAACTTCCCACTGATTTTTATTTGCATCACAAGAACACCCTCAGTCTGTCACAGACCAGGCGAAGGTATTTTGCTGTTCTGTTTTTTGTTTGATATTGCTCTAATAAATTTTAAAAATGCATGCTGTTAACCAAATAATTTGGTCAGCCTGCAAAAACTTACTTACTGTTTTTTAAGCTGTTACAAAAGCTTTGAAAAAAAATAACCTTCAAGAGATTACAAAAAATGTTGGATATTGGTGTTTTGAAGGATTTGCCTAGTATGTTATTTTCCTGTTGTACCAAAAAAAAAAGTTTTTGTATTTTGTATGAAATTCTAGCCTGCAGTGTGAAATGCTTCACTGTTTTACTGAAGGACAGTTACCACTGTCTCATTAAGCAGTATACAGATGTATTTTTAGTGGCCAGATTTATTAAGTCAGTGTTGTATTTGAGATTAGGTGATGAGGATAACATTTGTTTATTTTTTGTGTATAATGCACTTAGTCTGCGGCTGTGCATACCAAGAAGCCCGTGATTTTCTACCTTCCTTTCAGCTATGTCTAGCCTATTTTGAAGACTTTGTTTCTATCCCATTATAGTGGCATGGTAATATACAGAAATAATAGAGCTAAAGTGTAAACATTTTAAAGTCATTTTAGTGTTTCAGAATGCAGAATGATTTTGTTAATGATTATAAATACTGTGTGTTAAAAAACATTTTTCCATTTTAGTAAGAAGGACAGTACTAGACTTGTTAACTAAATAATCTTTTTGGGGCGTTTTGCTGTTTGTATCTTTGTTCATTCTGTGAGTCTTAAAGCTCTGTATCACAATGGTAGATCTGTATATCTGCATTTAGATTTTTGTCTGGGGAAAATTGCAAGTGTTTAAACAGTGTGTTCAGTCCCTGTTGGCTGCTTATTCCATTAACCCATTGTCGCAGCTGGCGTGTGATATGACTCTCTAAATTTCAGTCCTTTTGTGTTATCTCCTGAGGCTTCTCTTGATGATAGCTCATAACAGCCATACAACCAAGTGCTATTTCAGGCACACATGAAACCTGCACCATTAATTTTATTGCCTACTGGTTCAGAACATTATTGTATGTAACAAATGAATTCAGCTGATATATCACAAATATACAAATGTCCTAGCCTCCCTCCCTTTCATCTGTACACTGTTAAACAACTGTCTCTTATTTGTCACAGATGCTGTTCTCAAATGAGTAAAAAAATTTTGTATTCTTCATTTGCTTGTTAATTAGCTTTACCTTTCATTTTGGCCAGAATTTCTTCTGAGCAGTTATAATATACAACCAAGATGTTTTTTCATGTGAACAAAATGACACCTCCACATAATAAGTAGTGAGGTGAAAAAAGCTCTTCCAAGTAGTTTTTCATTTCTACGAAACTATTGGACAAGTTCTTCATATAACTTCTTCCTGCCTCTCTGTGTAGTCCCTCTTTTGGATTTGTTGGGCACAGGAGCAAAGGAAATAATGAAAACTCATAGTGGAATCAAGAATATAGGAAGAGAAGGAAGATGTTGTTTCCTGTCATTGAAACTTAACTATCTGTAGTTTTGATGGTCTGTATCTTTTCCTATATTGTATATTTGCCTCTCCATCAGAAAAAAGAGATTTCATAATGACTCTCATATATTACTTTTATATAATCTGTGATTCACATGAAAGGACAGTGAATATGGAGGAGACTTTCTGTTGCCGTGTTACTTATCATTTATGTAAGCAGCACAACTGGGTGTGTCTGCATAGTTTCTGAAGGGACTGAACAAAATGGCTTGCTAGGGTGGCCTGATACAGTACTTCAAGTAGAGACAGGACCGTCAGGCATAACTCACTCCTTTCTGTCCAGGACATACATGGTTCTTGGAACTGAAGGGTGTTGCCCTGCCTGTTCTGCACCATTTGCTAAGTCCCACTGTCAAGTCTATCTCTGGGCATGGGAATACACCCATTGTTTCTGCTCCCCGTGGCTACATTGACATGAGTAGGAGGGAATCACATTAATACTGCCCTTACAGTACATATTTGAAATAAAAATCAATGAAGATAAATGTCTTTTCATCCCAAGTAATGAAATAGAAGAAACTACCAGAATAATTTAGAGAAGAAATTGAAGTATATTTGAGAAGAGAAAATAAAAATATGAAACATGAATGAAAGATAAAACATGCTTTATTTTATGAATGTGGCTTGATTTCCTGTGTTTTCCTTTCAGAAATCCTCAATAAGCTTCCAGCAGGATCTGGTTTTTCCTATTAGCTATGCCAACATACAGACTTAGGACAGCTGTCACATCAAAATGTATTTCTATGTGTAGAAATCATCTGCTTTGAAAATATTCCAATTTTATTATCATTGACCTTCATTTCTTCATACCCTTTTCCTAAATTTTAGGATATGACTAACAAGTGGTGGGTGGGGGCTGACGCTTTTTTTTTCTTTTTTAAAGACCAGAACAAGAGAAATACATAAGTACCTTCTATATATACTAAGATTCAATGGAACAAAACCATGCCTCTTTCCATACCTGTAGTGAGCTTCATGTGTTTAAATTTCATGGCCTGAGAGCAAAGTAGTAGGATAATTTAAATACTCCATCCAAGGGTAATTCTGTACTTTCTTCCACACTTGAATGATAAAGTAATGTTTACTAAAATGCCAGCATATTATTGGGTAACTGTTATGCGCAAACGTTTAGACTGGATACAAGATCAAATCTTCTGTATCAATTGTGTGTCTGTTTTTTCCTGTGCAGCTACACTTACTGGTGGACCACAGGTGTGCTAAAGCATTTACCCCTTCCTTTTGATGAAGGTAGGAATTATATTTGCTCCTTGCCTTACAGAGTATCTTGAAAAATAAGTTTTAATCACAAATGCTTAAAAGGCATTTTTTCTTTTTCTTTTAGATCCCAAATCTGAAAAAAAATATTGTTTCCCTAACGGTTGCTAAATACTTTTTTTCCTGCCCCTCACTCCCCCAGATGAGCTATGATTTTTCAACTGCAGGATGCAAGAGATACCTAATTGGTTAAAACTTGACCTCCATATGTTAATATGCCAGGACACACTTTGTTCCTTTTTTTCCTCTTTCCTTGCCTGTTAACAGATATTTATAGTCTGCTGGTGGTTACATTCCTGTTGCAGATGATGGGGTATAGCTAGTGTGTCTTATTTCTCTGTGATACTGTGGAGCATGTTTTATTAGGAATTTTTGTCATGAAAGGAAATCAAATTATAATGGTTGATAATGCATATTTATTAAAGGTGTGCTGTGCATCTTAAGATATTTTATTGTCTATAGAGGGGATATGGCTGTAGAAAAATGCCTGGTAGGGTGGCTAGGCAAGCAGGCGATTGTTTAGATTTTTGCAGAGTCAGTAATTGTTAGTAAAAAGATTATTTTTTTTTCTTTTCCCCAGTGACATGTGCTGAAAACAGACGGAAATTGACAGTGAAGAAATTCCACAAGTATGAAGAGGAAATTGATATCCACAATGAGTTTTTTCGGCCATATGAGTTGAGCAGTTTTGATGAGACCTTCTGCTTGGCAATGACCAATTCTACACGGTATATTGGGATGTCTTGTGACTATAAATGCTTAACAAGAAGTTGATTTGGTGTGAATTAAATGTGCATTTGATTTATTTGGTTAAATCTGTGTAGCACAATAGGTTTTGTGGGCTGATTGTTTTAGTTTGGTTGGGGTTTTTTTAAGCTTCAAATTTAGCAAACTCATAGAAATTAAATCACAATACTCAAATGGAAATGCTACTCTAAAAAAATTCTGTTAAGATAGCACTTACATTTCTAATTATTTTCCATTATGGGGTGCCAAATGTTTGGGCACTTGAAGGCTGAGAAATGAGGTTTTCTCTGTGGACTCAGATCACAGAGGCTACCTTCAAAGCAATTGTTTTCTAATTGTTCTGCTCTTCTTTTACAATTGTTTTGTTCAGTTCATCAGGTTCTCACAGCTGGTCAGAGAGTTGGGGTTTTTTTGTTCTTATTGGCAGCAATCAGCTGCATATTCTAAGCACAGTCTTAAATCATGCGTTAGCGAAAGACTTCCAAGCTGGCTATGTTTCATGTAGCTTTTTGACCCAATGTGAGTGCTGCCAGCATTTTGAAAACGATGTAGCTGGGTTACAGCTTCTTCAGTACAGGAATGCAGCACATTGCTCTAGCCTCCTTGGCAAGCGTTAATGGTTGCAGCTGTTTTATGTGACTAAATAACACAACTGAAAGCCTTTTAAATACCCAGGGGGTTTATAGTTACATGACTTTAACTTGTAATGATGAAGTTAGAACTTGATATTTCTTTTTATAATGATTTTTTTTTAATTCAAAGGTAGATATTAGAGGTGGTTCTTCAACACATAAGATTTTTAAATTTTCTGGAACTTCCCTCATGAACAGTTTTTCCCTTCTATTTTGACAGAGATTTTATGCCTAAGAACGTGGGGATTGACCCAAGTCCATTTACTGTTCGTAAACCTGATGAAACTGGAAAATCAGTGCTGGGGTAAGTCTGAAATATTACGTTTTGTTCTGATTTAAGAGTAGTGAAATTGTAATGCAAATGTATAAACTCTTACATGTGTGTCTGAGTAGCATATTCTCTGTTAAATGGCAAATACAATCATTGGTGTTATACTGTAGAATCATACACTTTGAAAATCATATCTAATTTGAGATTTTTATTTGACATTGGGAATTCTTTACTCAGACTTCTTTAATCTTTTGTTTTCTTGTACTCCTCTAAGTGAAACCCATGAGGAAATTTTCTAGATAAAGATACAAAGGTTGTTAAAATTTGATCATCTCTTAATACTAGTGACAACTGTATTCTCTATTGGAGATTACAGGAATGTGTGTACTATTGTTGTCTTTTAAAAAAAAAGCTAATATATTTTGAATAAATAGAGCATATTCTGAAACAGCAGTAAATGGCAATTTGAGCATAGTTTTTGATTTTAGAAAGTTATTAAAAGTATTTATAGAATAAATTATGTAAAACAATTCAGCAGCAATTATTGGGACAAATGAATGTTTCACTTAGCTGCTTTTGCATCCTGGACTTGCTTTGTTACTTTATTCCATTTATGTGTTTGATTTGCTGTATCACACAAGGGCTATGGGGACTTTTCCTGAATCAGTGCATTCTCTCTTTGATACCTCATATTAAGGAAACCTTTTTTCAGTAATGACTAAACCTATGGTGTCACAACATCATAAGTTCTTCTGAAAACTTGCTGTTCTGTTAAAACTACAAAATCTGACTGTCTTGTAAATAACATTTGTTGTACCTTGACCCTGAGGGACTCACCCTCAATAAATGTTGAGGGTAGACTATGCTTATCACTAGTAGAACCTGATTGCATGCTGCTGATGTTCCCTGGGAATAAGCAGAAAGACCGTTCAACAGTTATACAGTTTCCCTCTGCTAAAATTTGTGAGTTTATGGGTACTTTTGAAGATAAGCTTTATTCTTCCACTTTGGTATAATGTCAGATTTTCCATCAAATACTTGATCATTATACATTCTTCTCAGGCACTTTGCTTCAAGCTATCCACTGTGCTTTTTAGGGATTGTTACAAGATAGAGAACCAGCTGGATCAAGCCATGTTCCAGGACTCCCTGGGTATTGCTCATAAGGCTTCCCTTGCATTGGCTCTGTAGTGGCATAAAAGGTGTCTTCAATCTTCCACCTTACCCATATTTAGCCCTTGGTAGAGGTGGTATCTTTGCCTTGCACATTTGTCATCATCTTTTGATCTACTGTGATATTTCTGGAGGATTTGTTGATCTGTTCTCATCTGTAAGTGTTCTGGTCCTAGGACAATTAGATCTTGGCCTTCTTCCGAGTGTATGTTGGGATGAGGTGAGGATATAACTCTTGCCAGTGTTTGGCCACTTGCTCCATTCTTCAGCTTTCAGAAAGGACTGCTTTTCTTGAGACCTTAACCTCATTTAGAAAAGTAGGGAAGTTAACCTTAATTTTCCTTAAAAAGAATGCAGCATGTCTTCATAATTTTCTGTAAGGAGATGTCAGTTTCTGCTGAGTCAGAAATTAAACTTATCTGTGTTGGTTTTTCCCAATAAGGCACTTGTTCCAGCTGTAAGAATTCTTCTGATATATTAATGTTCTTGGGGGTGGGGTATGCTCACAGATCAAGAACCATTGGAAGGACTCTCCTACTTGTTTTTATGTGTTCCTAAGGCATATAAAGTTTAGCTAATTCACTACAGGGATAAATTGCTGTATGAGCTTGACTGCAAAAGGCAAAACTCTTTGTGACAGTCATGGTGTGCTCCACCAGAGGTCAAGTGATACTGGTGACCTCCGTGCCTTTGCTGATGAGAACACTAGAGCTTCACTCAAAATAGCATTTGCACCAAACCACATGTTTTTGTCAAAGCCTCTTAGAATGTTGTAGTCTTCCTTTAGGGCCTTCCTTTAGAGTACCTCACACACAGTGTCAGTGTACATATGGATGGTCACCTCATCAAGGAGGAAATGTTGCTTTCCTGTTTCCAGAACTGATTTGTCTATGAACATGTTCATTACCTGCCTTCCAGTCCCTCTTCCTTCAGAGTCTCTGAAAGATTGTGACAGTGCCTGAGAGGAAAGAGCAACCGTGTACCCTTCTATGGGCAGTAGGAAAGGATGTAGAGGACGTAAGGGTGGTGCAATTTCTGATGGGTGAAGTAAGGTATACCTTTCAGAGCTTGTACAAGTAAATCTAGTGTTGCCGTACTGAAATATACATGCTGTATCTTGACCAAGTCTTACAAATAAGGCACTTATTTAGATTGACTAGAATTGCTAGAGTGAGAAATACATGCTGCATAAAGAAATGTTACTGATTAAAGAACTAAAATGAGGGGAGAGGTGTGGAAAAGAAAGGGAAAAAAAGTGACATTATAATTAAGAATTTTGGGCCCAAGATCAAGAAAGCTAGTGGAGTGGATAGTGTTGTTAATCAGAAAGCAAAACATTTTCCCAGATCAAAACCAAAGATGTTATGTCTTTATGAATTTTATTCCTTTTTATTCATTCAGTCTGGGGGAAGGATTTAAGTAAAGAATCAAAGAATTTTTAGAGAAAAGCTGATATAATCCTTTGAGCTCTCTTTAAATGCTCTGGACTAAGAAGAGATTGAAGAAAAGTAAATCAATTGAGGGATTCAAAACATGAACAACAAGTTGCTCCACAGGGTAGAACTCACTTCCCCCAGTAAGATTGTAACCAAAATTAGGAATTTAAAATACTTGTTAATATCTCACTAATTTCATAAATACACACTGCCTTTTATTAAAGGAACAAAAGTAACAGAGAAGAAACTGTGCTGCAGCGCAAAACAGCTGCTAGTGCTCCTCCACCCCCAAGTGAGGAAGCAGTGTCGAGTAGTTCTGAAGACGATTCTGGGACAGACAAAGAAGATGAAGGTGCAGTTTCTCAACGTTCAACTCCAGTAAAGGTGACTGATACAGGAGACAACACAAAAATCACAGAGGTAAGAAATTATTGTGGCAGGCAAGAAAGCTAATCATGGACTTAAAATTCACATTTCCTTAAAAAAAAACATTAAATGTTTTAGAACAGTCAGAAGTAAAGCACTGAGAAATTGAGAAAGGTCTCCAGTATAATTTCTTTGTGTTGATATCAGCACAGCTGCTTATAAAACTTCGCTATTATTCTCGTCATGTAATGGTGAAACACAGCAGAAAATAACATTTTTAAAAAAATGAAAATTACTCTTAGAAATATATGGCATTTGAAAAGTAATCAGGTCAGGTGTAGTCCATTACCTAAAGCATAAAATCATAAAATACATCTGTGTGAATGTGTTAATTCAGAGCAGTAGTGCACTTCGGATTGCTGTCTCTTACCCATGCTCTGGCTCACATCATGAGGTGGTCTTGGAGCATGCAATTGGGATTCCTTTTTGGATTAAATTAAACTGCGAAATGTTTCTCCAGGAATGTACCTGATCTGCCTACCTAATCAACATTTAGTCCATAGGAGCTAATCTGGAACAAACCCCCTGAAAGACATATTGTATGGATCTGAGATCCTAAGCACCACCTCGTTCAATTACAGATCTATTCCTTTTGAATGATGCCACTTGCTCAGGTGGATATAGCTGTAAATTAGTGTTCAATCTGTCTGAATTTCAACCTGATCTCTGTGAAGATTTTAAAATTGCTGTTTCATAATTATATGGTCTGACATTTCAAAAAAAATAAAAAAAAGAAATTAAACTAACTCCAGAAATGTGCATGATAATGTTGTCACATTGGTCCTATGCTATTACTGCTACTAAGGTTGAAGATAATGGCAGGATAATAGTGAATTCATGTATGCACAGTCATATGAAAAGAATGTGTATTCTCAGTTGTGGACTACTAATCTTTCTTTTTCCTACCATAATTCCAGTTCTGTTGGAATCTCTTGGGTGCTGATTTGATGAAAATACTAATTTGTATGAAGTATTATGGAAATATCTATTTTATGAATTCACGTAACATTTCTTCGGATTCTCTCTTGTAGATACCCATTTTGGGTACACTGAAAATGTCTTAGCAAAAGGATATGCTAATGGAGACTGTACAAATTTGCAAAATACTTATGTTGTTTTGAGAGATTTGGGAATTTTTTGATTTTGTTTTTTAAATCACAGCTAGTTTAAATAGTTATATCGTTGTGCTTGTACACATTATCACGTTTGAAGAAACTTCAGTATTTATGACCTTAGTCAGTATAAAATGTAGTGCCTAATAGGCAACAGAGAATAAAAATGCCTTTTTTTCTGCTACAATTCAAATTTTCATTGCATTCTGTCTTTAGACTAGGGTCGGGTGTTCACAGATAATGGATTTTCAGCCTTCTATACAACACTGTCTTCTTCCTAACATTAATGAAGCATTTTCAATAAAATAACTATGAATTTGTCTGGTATTAATTTTGAACAATTTGGATTGTTGTGCCAATGCAAGTGAATGTATTTCTGTTTATGCAAGATGTTTTATCTGAAAATTTTCCATTATCTTTGAATAATAGAATACCTGTTTTCCAGCATGTCAGATTGTTTCTAGATGTTTTAACAATCCAACCTGGAATTTTATTCTTGATTCTTAACCATTGCACAGGTTACCTCCCATCAGTTTTTCTATATGTGCATTGAACACACTTCAATACTCAGACCTAAGATATTTTTTTTTTAATTTTTAAGATGCTTGAATGAAAGATGTACGTAAACACAAAACATGATTTAAGATAGTATTCAATTTTAATGGTTTACAATTGGGTGAGCTATTCTGATTCTTTTAGTAACATGCATGAAGAAATATTTTCCATTTTATTAGCACCTTTTCATGCATTGAACTTTAGTCATAATTTGCATTGTTAATTTGTGTCATTGCTTATTAAAGTTGCAGTGCTGAAAAAGATTACCTGTTCAGTTATGCTGAATTGCTTCATTAGCAATGAACTTGGGTTTTGGAATTATTTTTCTGGGAATGGCAATTATTTCTTGTGTCTACACATGTAGTTAAAAAGTTTAAAAAGAAGACTTGTAATGGAGGGTTTCAAAACTCAGTGGCTAAACTGAATAATGTAATAAGAAATAATTATGACTGGAAAAGGTGGTAATGTATCTAGTTGATTAAATAAGTGTCTGTTTTCTGGAACTGGTAAAGCATAGAAATGTTATTTTTTCCCCGTCAAGTTAAGCTTAACTTAAAAAAAAACTTTAATGAAGAATTCACTTAAGAGCCTAAGCTTACAAATATTCCATGTTATGTTTCTGTTAGCTAAACTGACAACATACTCCACTCTAACCAGTGTTAGTCTGCACTTCACTGTTTTCTCATTTGTGAAAATAGATTGTGTATAGTATTGTTCAAAAATACTAGAAGTTGGGGTGAAAAAGAGTAGTGTTGGGTATTTTTATGTGTAAAAGAGTTGACATTTGTAAACTTATATTTTCAGGTGCATTCTTGAGTAAATATGGTTATTCCAGAATGATTGAGTGTTTGGTCAGGAATTTGAATTTTGGTAATTTTTAGATCAGCAACTGTAGTGTAGAGAAAAATTGTATCGTTACAGGGCAGGGAAGAAAAAAACCCAAACAACTAGTTTCTTTCTATTCACATCTCACGAAAATTAATAATAAAATGCTTTTATACTTCTAGTCAGGACATATCTTTCTGAAGTTCTTCTTTGACTTTAGATCTTTTTAAAAGAAGACTATTTTTATAGTTGACTTACTTGCAGTCACACGGGTCTTGTCAGTAAACTCCTTCAGTTTAACTCTGAATCATTAGACATAGTTATTGAAGTACTGCATGTGCATTGGACCTTTCTTATAGTTGACTGACATGATGTATAATGTATAAAATAAAAAGAGTTTTGTTCAACCTGAACTCTGTAATTATTTCAGACTTTACAGCAGGAAATGTGAAAGCAAATGTGGGAGCATGTTCTGAACTAATATGATTTATTCTATATTAATTTTTAACACAGAACAGAATGTAATACCTACATCATTATAATGTCCTATATTCTCCTAATATGTTGGTTTATCTGATGTTATATTTCAAGAATCCTTTCCTTTACTTGTTGAACAAATGTCTTGAGTAATATTTTTGAGAACTGATTTTTATTATTTTAAAAACATGCAGAAGCTAAGATTACTGTGTATATGAGAAACTTGTTTGGTTTTGCCTGCAGTTTTGAAATTATTTTTGTGTTTAGAAAGAATTCCTTCCCTGAAAGCAAATTTTTCTTTGGATGTTGTTGCAGTATCTTCAGTCTGAATCTTTCTTCTTATGTTCCAGAATGTAGTGCAATCAACAAAAGATGTATATGGAATCAATCTTTCAGATGTTCCTTCAGAAGATGATCTCACAATATACACTAGGTGAGATAAATTTCCAGTGGTAATCAGTAAAAGATAATTGGAGCTAGTTAAATGCAGCCTGTCAAAGTGCTGCCTTTGATTAAACTTATTTAAATTATAAATTGTAGAGATATTTGGATATATATACTATTCCATTTTTACAATCAAACTATGAAACTGTTTTGAGATGTCTGTGTCAACTCTGATGTCAGGGGAAGTTGTGCGGATGTCTCTGAATGCAAAATTTGAAACTTGAATGAAAGATGCTTCAATAGAAATACCCATCACTTAATACGGTCCTGGAAATTAATATGCAAATTCCATATTAGGAGTGGTTCCATGGTTCTAGGCTATGTAGTCTGTGATTTTTGCATTTTTAAAATGCTGAATTATGCTAATTCAGATCAGTCATAAGTGAAATAGCCTCTTCTATAAAAATGCATACGTAACAACAGAAGTTAAGTCTTTGTTTAACATGATGTCTTATTTGTAGAGATATGTGTTAACTGTTACCCTTTTCTCAAATTTAAATAGTTCTGTGACTTTTGATGTTCAAGGTAAATTATTTTTCTGAATAATATTCAGGCTTTTTCGTGAAACATCTTGCCCTTTTGAGCCTGAAATAAGGCATTGTGGTTTTATAGGGAGACCTTGAGACCGTTACTAAATCTAGTATAGACTACAGGGAGAAAAGTTGAGAAAAGTGGTCAGAATAACTCGCACTGTAGAAGCACGGATATCTAAGTGACAGATATTTGTACTCCTAAGTTTCAGGAGATTGAGAAGTTAGTTTGGCCCTTGCCATTATTGGAGTTTCATGAAATAACAGCATGTGAATATATGAGGTGTGTGGGTTTAAGTGTGTGTGTATAAATATGCACAGCACTAAGCGTAGTGTGTGTACTAATGTGCTCTTACACACTGCGTTTTGAACAGTGTCACGCTGCCACTGGTTTTCAGTAAATGGTTTTGTGAATTCATACCATCCATACAGGAAATCAGTAAGATACAGCATGGTTTCTTACAAAATACAGCTCCTTAGGTGGTCCAGCAAGTTCCCACTCAGTTCGTGCCCCTTGTGGTAAAGTGTTAAAATGTGAGGCAGCATGCTGCACAGCACCTGCAGGCTCTCCTCGGGAGCTGGGAGCTGATCGCTTACTGTGAGCAGTTGGAGGTAAGAGCTGGTGGGCAAGCATCAAGGTATCACCTCCCAGGTCCTACTACACAAAACCTTCTGCTTTTATTTAAGAGTAACTTGGACTTCTATCATGTAAAAGACAGTGGTCGCCACTCCTGCAGGGGCCATGAACTGCCAGCTCCTCAAGAGCAATCAGCAAATTAATACCAGGCTTCTCCAACAAAAGGCACTGGCTCCCATTGTATCAGGGATTGCCATAACCCCACATAGAGCACTGGCTATGTGTTGCCATTGTTAAAAAATGTGTACTTATGCTAGCTTTCTCAAATCCTCTCCTCAGTAGCACAGAATAACACTGAAGCCAAAAAGAAACTGGCTCAAATAATCTTTTCTTAAATCAGAAATTAATTTGAACCTTTTATTTTTTTTTAACTCAAACCAAAACTGAACTAGAATAATTTCAGTTATAGATGAACTAGAACTGAACACAGAAGTTACTTATTCAGTTCCCTGGTGGAGGAGATTATTTCCTGAACTGCAATCTTTTTCTTTGAAGATTAGTCAGAATAATGGGAATTCAGTACTGGAGATCAGTTGGGAAAATTTAGATACAAATTGAAAACCCTCTTAGTTCCTGAAGGCTTAGAGTGCTGTTGCCAAGAAAGCAAATGCTTATGCAAGACACCAGGACTGCAAATCAGTTACATTAGCTTGATAAACCAATGTTTCAAACACCTACTTAGAATGCAGAAAAAGGGTGTAAGAGAACTATACATCATCTCAGAAAAACACTGTGTGTACATTGAAGTGAATCCTAGTGAGGCATGCATTGAAATGGGCTTGTGTGTGTTTGTTTTTCTTTTCTAATGTGTAATAGCAGTGATTAACCTTGTTTTATTTGAAAACTCTTCAATTTGTGAGGGAAGTTTTAATTTACTATGATATCTTCTCATCTGGTGATATGTGATGATTAATCCTGACTTAGTTAATTAATCCTCCTAAAGCATTTTTTTCTTTTTATTTAAAAGTCTTTTTCTGATATTTTTCTTTAGGGATAGCTACTTCTACACTCTTCAGTTCTTTGAAATTCCCATTTCTACCTATTTCCTACATGCCGAGTCATTTGAAGATAGTACACTTGAGAAGGATAGAGGAGATCATACCTCATTACCTCTGAAATTTTTAAATTCACCAGTGCCTCTAACTTTGGTTCTTCATTTTAACCACTAGAAAATGGATGCCAATTTGACAGTTACCCTTTGATATACTGGATAATTATTGTTCTGGAAATAAATGAGCTGGACTGACAGTGTTTCAGCTGAATAAACTAGATTGAATTTGGCTGAGGACTGACTTAGAAAGTCTCTCAAGTTTCAGATTTCTCTCTGTTTATTTTTTCTCATAGGCTATTCATCTGACTGCTTTGAAAAAGATGTAGGTAGCTGACTGTAGCCTGATGGCTATTTCGTAGGAGCAGAGGCTTGTTTCTATCCCATGACATACTAAGTAACACCAATTAATAAGCAAATCTTTTTCAAGCTAAAAGGAGCTGCTGAGTTCTCACATGCACCCACTGTAAAGTTTTAAAAATCCTTTTGGTTTACCGGAGAGGTAGATCATCATCAGTGATTTACATATCATGATTTAGAATCATTTTTTGGTGTCTTTTTCTTTCATTTGCTGGATTCTTTTTGTGGATAGTTCTTTTACTTTCTTTGATTTATTCTCCTATCTACTGTTTTTCACAGGTTTGTTCAGCTGGGACAGAGTCAGCATAAACAAGACAAGAGTAGCCAGCAATTTTGCTCAAAACACCACTTGGATAGGGTTATAAATTTGTAAGTATTCTTTTTCCTTTTCCTTTGAGCCTATTTCTTTTTGTTTTTGTCATTAAACCCAAAAAGTCATCAGGTAAATTTGATGCTAAATTGTTTCATCGTCACACTTCTGTTGCTTTGACTGCATAAGGGGATTCAATGTGTAGCATGAAGAACTAGGTTCCTACTTTTTTTTTTTAATTGACAAGATTTTTGTATTCAAAATTGTTAGCAATTGTGAGTTATCACAACACAAAATGCTGAAGCTACTGAGTTTAAAAGGCAATTTTTTCTTGCTGTGACTGCTTTTGAAAGAGGTAGTTTGAAATAAGTGGGTTGACCTGCATATTCTTCATTTAAAAGTCATTCAAAATTGCAATTCAGTCTTTGGTGTGCAGTTAACTGAGGTTTTTTTTGTTCTGAGGCGGCTTCGAGTACCCTGTGTTTGTTTTAGTGGACATTTGATAAATTTTGCATCTCGTTCCAAACAGGTTAGTGGGTGACGGTAGGTTGTAAGGGGAAGATCAATCTCCAAATGCTTCGTCTCAATGAAATACCTCTTGAATACTTTAATCACAAAAGATTAGTTTGAGAGCCATATTCAACAAATAACGATTGTGATGGGATGGTAGGAGGATTGCTCTCCAGGGGTATCTGCCATGTGGAATAACATCTATTTATTCTGTTGCAAATAGAGTAACTTTCCATTAATATGAAAAATAATTCTAACATTAAAATTACAATAGGTGCACATATTTAATTTCTACTGAAATAAGGAATTTAACTGTTTGTGATTATGGATTGGTTATTGCTGTACAAGAATGGCCTCTAGTGATAGCCATATCATTTGAATCTTTTCTTAGTACTAGTATTAAAAGGATCATGATATTATCCAAGTATCTTGGTCTTAGAATTTAGATTATCAAGTCCTAACTTCCCACTTGACATCTTCCTGTACTTTAGGCAGCTTAAAGTTACACCAAGGCGGGTTTTTGTTTACTTTTGTCTCTGGGATGCATGATCTCTTAACCACCAGCAAGGCCACTCCGTAGGACTGCGAGACCTTTACTGCAATCCGTAGATTTACAGAAGCCTCAGCTTTGATTCCTGCACTGCCTCTAGTCCTTTTCCTCTGTGCTGATGGCTGGGGGTGTCTCAGTGAGGCTGTGGGAGCAGGATAACGTGAAACAGATTTAATATCATGTATGAAACAATAGTGCCTAATGTCAGTGCTTAGTTGTTTGGTATTATATACATTTAAAATGATGATACCAATGTGCATTGTTCATCATTAATAAACTTATGCTTCATAGGTGAATGTGCCTGTAGTTTTATAATAAAATATGTCTGATGGATATTAAAATACTGTTAGGTTGGCAAACTGTAAAACTGTTTTTAAATGTGAATAAACAACACAGTGCTTTGAAGGGAAATGGTTATTAAGAAATTAGGCATATTTTTCTATTAATAGAGGCAATTCTTTTTGTGTAATTGCAGAATCTCCCAGCACGTTTGACAGCGTAGGAGATAATAATTCCTTTCTTGTCCTCTTAAAGTAGAGTAAATTATTCCCCATGCTATGCTGCTGTAAAATGAACATGTTAAAGAGAGCCTATACACATAATTCTGATGGGTTTGGGGTAGTCAGACATACATTTTTCTCCTTTCCCAAGTGTAATTTTAACATGTTTCTGAATAGTGGAATTGTGAAAGTCGTAGAGCACACAAATCTGTGTCTGCTGCCGCCTTTCCTCTTCAAGTTGTGTGGATCATCTTTCTCTGCCAGTTCTACCAAAGATGCTATTCTGTGCAGATCTGAGAGGAAACAGGGTATTTTATAGTTGGTCATTTTTTTCCTGAAAGTATATCTTTATACAGCTTTAAATTTTTCTCAGGTTTTTGTTCTGCAACTTTTTAAAAACATTTAAATACTGTTTGGATGATCACAGATTGTTCTTTCAAGAAAAGTCATAAATGTAGCCATTCTGCAAAGGCATGTTTTTCGATTCAGAAACAAGGAAGCTTTCACTTACTGAGTTTGAATTGCTGCTCTACATCAGGAATGTCCTTGGAGAATACTAACTTTTCAGAGATAAAATAGCGTGAATATACTATACTCCAGATGAGGTTGAGAGAGAGGGTGTTCAGTAACAGCAGCTGAAAAACATCTGGCACTTGGACTGTATATTTCCTTGTTTCTCAAGAACCACTTGAAGAAATTGAAAAATTATAGTAAACTTGTATTAATTTGATGTTAGGTGCATTTTAAATTGAGAAAAAAAATGGCAAATTTGATTCTGCAATAGTTCCTTCTAGGTACACATGCAATTAAACCCCAGACCTTTTAATAGTTAAAGGAAGTACTCAGTCTAAAACTTTGGTTTCTCATGAACAGTGAGATATAATTTAGGCTTGGGCTAGTTGTTGCTGTCATTTCCACAGTTTTCAAGAAAATCTTTTTTTTGTGTCCTCTTTAGATATGAAAAAACCTCTCACAACCTTAAACCTTGTGGCTATTTGTATCAAATACGTAAAGCAAATCCAAAAGGAAATATTTCTTATTTTTACAATGTCATTTAAGTGATATTTATGAACTTGAATATGCCTTGCAGAAATACTGAAGAGAAGCTTCTATCTTAAATTTAGAAACTGTTAAGTATAGATTAGAAGCAAAAAATGGATACTTGAACAGGAACTACAGTGATGCAGCAAAATAATACTGAAGAGGAGTAGAGAATGTGGAAGGATATTGAAGTTGTTCTTTTTGTTCATAGAAATTCCATGAAGGAAAAAAGGGAGAATTTTAGTTTAAGTAGGGCTGGACTACTTTTAGCACAATCTATTATCATGTAGCTGGAGAGAGACTTTGTGTACTGCAGTATAATTGCTGTTGGCTGACACAATGCCTCTCTTCCTGCTCTCCTAGTACCCATTGCAGTGTGGCACAAATAATGCTGTTGAAAAATATACTCTCAATCACTTTCCAAATGTAGTTCTTACATTGTGTCTAGGAGTGCAAGAAATTTGATTCCCTCCTGAACAGGGAGTTGTTTTGATTCACTGCAGCACTTGTGGAGAAGAGTGTGTAAATGCTGTAACAGTCGGGTAATAAAGAGTAGCTGGTTGCATCAATCAGAGCACAAGCTGTCTTCAGTGCCTGTGTACATTGTGGCCTATGCAATATAGCAGCAATGTTTGTGCACCAACTTTAATTCATCCATAGGTTTCTACTCTCCTGTTTGGTTTTGCAGGGCATTGATGATGCTCAAGCAGGAAAAGACTTTAGTGAGGGATATCTGCAATATGGGCTGTGTTCTCCTTAAATATTTGAAAAACATACTCTGTCTTCAGAAATACGACATATAGTTGGTTTTCAAAGTTCTCTTGATGTTAAATGTGTATTTTTTTTTTTTAAATCAAGACTACCTGGATTTTGCTTGTCATCCAAGTATTGATCAAATGGGACTGAAACTGAATAGCAACTAACTACGTACAAGTTAGCAGCTAACTATGTACAAGTACTATACGGGCTTTTTTACTGTTTCTTTCTGTGTACATGCACATTATATGCATTATTTTCACATTGAGACAAAAGTAAGAAAATTTCAGTGAGCAATGGAGTGTTTTTAATCTATAAAACCACTTTAAAATATAAAAGTAAAAATAGAGCAGTACATTTTCTAATTTTAATGAAATGTTTTACAACCCTAGTAACTTTTGAAAGCAGTTCCCTCGGTTTAGAGCAATTCTCTTATTCATTCCATATTTCCATATGACTTTGTTAGTATAAGATCTATTTCTTGGATGATTAAATAAATTTACCTTATGTTTGTAAACATGGCATTATCACTCCTTTATAACTGCACTAAAGAAAAGGTTGGTATTGAGCTTGTCACCTTTCTGTGTATTCACATCCTAGGGGTTCTTGGGCAATTCCTTATGTTGAAAGGCAGAAGTGAATAAAGGATGTGTAGAATGTTGAGTATTAAACCCGTGCAAAATATCTAAATAGTTTCTTGACAGTGTCATGGAAACAGTGAATTAAAAGGTGTTCATAAGCAGCCAACAAGTGACATTGGAAATTACAAGTTATCCTGGATTCTCAAGGGTGTTGCTCTTTGCTGCAAATGTGCACCCCAATATGTTGCTTTACATCAGAAGAAGTTAGATAAATATCAATTAAAGTGTTTATTCACAAAATAGGGAATTGTTATGAATTCATGGAAAATATAGGTGAAGAAATTGTTTGTATTCTGTCATCTGTTTACACTAAGCTTAAATCACAAAGGTCTCTTCTCTAGTTGCTGCCTTCTCCTGATAAGGTGGCAGTTAGGATGTCTTTTTTTTTCCTTAAAAAAAAAGAAACCAAACAACAAACAAACCAAAACGTATTCTGCACTTCAATAGAGCACCTTCTTGCTAGACAACCCTTTGTCAGAGCAGCATCTAGTCTTCAGTGGAGGTTTTTGTCTTTAGTCTTCCCTTTGAAATCTCTCAGAAGGGTCTGAATAGATGCTGTGTTTTTACCCACAACTAATGTTATTTCTTCCTTTTCTTATAAGCAGGATAGCTATGCCTCTTAAAACACACACTGCTGCTGCTCCTTGGAGATGTAAATATCTGTGTTAAATTGGGAGTCATCTACCTTACTTCCCTCCTTAACTAAAAAACTCTTTGCCTCTATGATGGATTAAATTCTTTCCTGTTTGATGATTATTTGGATTCATTTTACTTTGAGATGTCTTGTACTACTTGTATTCTTTAACATCTGTATATTAAGGAGCATATATGATCTAAACCTCTGCATATCTCTAAAAAAAAATAAAAGTATGTAGCTCACTATTAACTCTTGATTCAGAGCATAGGTGAGGATAATTAACCACTTAGGGTTAACTGATCCAACACAGATGTGTTACCACAACTTTAATTTCTCTTATTCTTTTGACTCACATATATCCACTTTGGTTTCACTATTCTGAAAATAGCTTTAAGGAATAATCTTCCTCACTTAATTTGAATCTTTTCTCTTTTTGACTCTCAGTATTTTAAGCAAAGCACCTCTGTGATTCTCCAGCATTAGAATTCTCTTGAAATTTACTGGTCAGGCTGTTTCTAAATTACCGGGATTTTGTCTTCTGTCTGAAGGTGAAAGATTGGCCCTCATTGGGATTCTAAATGGCTTTAGCACTGTCTGTGCACTTGTCTCTTGCAAAATGGCTTGACTACACTGGCTGCTACTGAGAATATCTTCATTTTATATTCTGAGGAAGTGGTTTTAAAGTAATTGTGGGCACTTTCCCTGAAAGTACAAGGTACTTCATGTTGTCTGGAAAAGACAAAAGAGTATCAGGAATCAACACCACATAGAACAAGTCATTTTGTCATTTTGTGCTTGAATGCTCTGTTCATTTTTAGTCACACATCTCAAAAAGAATACTGCTGGGAAGAGTCTGGGGAAAAGTGATAGTATGATCAGAGTTGTAGAACTCTACAGAAAAAAAAAAAAACTGGCTGGGGACTGAAGGAAATAAATTAATCCATGTTGTGATGGTTTATAAAGTGCTCTACTGAAATTTGACAGGAGAAATGGTTTAGTATTGTGGTCTAGATGACAGCATGACTGGATTTGATGGGAGAAGTTAACAAAATAGCTGAACCAATTCTAACAGCTCATTGCCACCGAAAGGGGGAGGTTTTCCTCCTTCCTTATCACGTATTTCTTCGGTTGTTTGTGCAAGCTTTGCTGCTTGTTACAGTGTTCCATAAATCAGTCCGGCTCATCAGTCTGCAGCAAACTGGTTCAGCAAAAAAAGCAAATAGTTTCCTGATAGATTAATGAGATTATTTAGACCAATGGAGGTCCCAGTTATCACCAGGGCCAGCATAGAAGAGACAGAGCCACTGGGTGTGGCTGTGAAGTGATAGATTTCTATTCATCAATTTAAGAAAACTGTCTTCCTTAAGTAATCCCATCTAAAAAAGGAAGTCTAAGCTTTTCCTTTCCAAAACAAAACACAATGTTCATCTTCTTTTTTTTTCCTCTTTTCTTTTATTTTCTTTTCTATTTTCTTTTCTCATCTCTTCTCTCTCTTCTTTCCTTTTTCTTTTCTTTCCTTTTTTCTCTTCTCTTCTCTTCTCTTCTCTTCTCTTTCTCTTCTCTTCTCCTCTTCTCTTTTTTTCTTTTCTTTTTTCTTGGTGAATTCTTTTGATACTTCTTCTGTTTTGCCCTGTACTACCGCTAGGCTCCTTTGTGTGTCCAGTCTTTAAATTTTGAATTAGTTTGTGGTCAGCATAAATAATCCCTACTTAGAAGATTTATCTTTCCTCAGAGATCACCTTTCTGTATCAGATGTTCTAACCTTCTCTCATATTCTTTCTGTCAGCACTGTAGAGAAACTGCTTCTAATTTGGATTGTAAAATGCTCATTTAGATGTATACTTGTGTAAAGAGAGTCTCTTCTTTGTCTAACCTTTGAAACTGTACATGCTGTTGGAGTTTCAGGTGATTGTTGTGGGACCTGGATACACTCCAGGTTTTGCTGCTGGTCAGTTCTGTAAGATACAAATTGCAGTATTGTTGGACAGAGACGGTTTCCTCTTTTTCAGTCCTCTCCATTCACAAAGAATGTGACTGAAACTTTGTTGTATGGAGATGTTGGTGTCTAAGGAAGGAAAATACTGTTGAAGGCTCTTTCAAGAGCACAGCAAGCAATTTCAAGGGTTACCATTTATGGGGGTTCAGAGTAAAATTACTCGCTTGTTATAATTGCTACGAAGTGTATAGCTCAATAAAATTTTCCTATTATCTGTTACAATGCACGACACAGATCTGTTTCAGCTTGGGTACTTTCTCACTGTAGCAGATCTGAGAAAGGATGGAGAAATGAGGACAGAGTGGAGGCAGGTAAGAAAGTATTCTGTAATGTGATTAGTGACAACTTACCTAATTACCCTACTTGGAAAGTTAGGTCTTATCAGGTCTGCAGGAGTAATAAAAATCTGGGTAAATTAACAATCTATTGGGAAGTTGCCTTTTCATTGACTCATACATATTTCAAGGAAAGAAATACTCTGATCTCTCTGTGTAAAAATTTTTACATGAAGTTCCACATATTCTGCATGTTTGGTTTTTTTTTTTTCAGAATACCCATCTCCTCCTTTTCTCAAGACAATATTTACGAAGTCCAGCCTCCGAGAGTTGATAGGAAATCAATAGAGATTTTTCATGCGCACATTCAGGCTGGAAGAGGAAATATGCAGCCACTGGGAAAAGATGACTTCCTCATGTACAGAGAGTACATTCGAAACAGATACATGTAAATACACGCTGGATTCTCCTGCCAAGTCTACTGTACTGATAGGTCATCAAAACAATTTTAGAAAGGAAATGTAGTTTTGTTATTTTGCAGTAATTAATTATCTAACATTTATATTTATTATGCTCTACTATTATACATTTACAGTATTGTGCTTTACAGGAGACAAGTGATTTAATATCTGCCCTTCAGCAGATACAGAAAATGTATCTTAAGAGACTAAGTGGCTAATCAGAGCACCCACAGTCACTGAAGAACAAAGAGAAATATGGCAAAGAAAATATTGCATTTTCGGGTTTTTATATTAATGTCTTACATTGTTGTGTTTGTTAGTAAAGCTGAAGAATTAGAAGCATAAGAATTAGAATAGTTTTCTTTCTCTTTGTTCCTTGACAGCAAATAATCTTTTTTACAGCAGAATGTTTTCTGATATTTCTTGAGATTTTTAGCAAACTGAGTGCTAAAATGACTGCTTGTAAGATGCTACTTTCTTAAGCAAAAGTGAAAAATACATGGTGTATGTCAAAGTTTGCATCAAGACTAACAAACTTTGTAACCCTAATTTGTGTCAAAACTAATCTCATTTGTGCTAGTAGCTACAGAATCTGTGTCACATGCAGGGTGAAAATGGCTTGTGACTAATTATCATGGGCTTCTAATGAAGAGGTGAACTACTTGACTGCATCTGCAAATGAAGGAATGCTCTCTACTTTACTGGGTTTAGACTCTTAGAGGGCACAAAACCATCCTGTCATTTTTCTGGATGACAGGAATTACCTTTTTTGCAGTATACTCTTTCCATCCCTGTATTTGTGCTCCTGCGGGATGCTTTCAGGTTCAAGCCTACAGCATCCCAAGAAATCAGTATTGGTAAGTGAGGTATAGAGAGTGGATCTGCTGGGGTGGTCATTCAAGAGGAAGTAGTAGATGAGTTGGGCAAGACTGAACATCATGCTCAGTGCTAGCTAAGAAGTGAAGAGGCAGCAGGTTTCTGAAATAGGTTGTTTAATTTGTGCTTGTGAAATATCTCTCAAATTAAAAAAAAGGCAAAACAAACAAAAAACTATTATTTGCAATTACAAAGTAAAATTCCCAACACTGCCTTCTAGCCCTTTGCCTTAAAGAATGCTGACAGTGTCAGCAGCATGTTATTCCACAAGCTTGTGAAGACCTTATTTCAGGATTTTCTGGACTAACTGAATAACTGGTTTAAGGATGCCAGCCAACTGTATGTACTGGATGTAGAGGACATGTTTTTGTTCATAGAAAATCACTTGCGGGCACCAGACTCTTGGCTACATGCTGCAGACATATTCTGAATATGTTTCTGTATTTCGCACTGTCGCGCTTTTTTTCAGTGATTCAGTGAAAGAAGAGATGCAGTGGACAAAAGGAAAAGACAGAAGTTTCTTGTGGTGAAAGTCTGTGTGTTTCAGGGAGTGACATGTTATGTGGTCAGTGAGAGAACACAGTACCTCAAGCTACCAAAAATTTAGGTGTCCATTTTCTTTTGTTAATTGATTAATATTGCTTTGAGAGAAATGAATGTATTTTAGGAGATGCAAGAGTGGAATGTCACTTTAGATAATACTTTGTTGCAACTGTCAACCTTTTTTTTTCCCTCTCAAAAAAGCCCTGTAACGAACTCTTTTGTCCAATATGAAAAATAATTTGAAGGAATAAATGCTTGCTTTGAAAAAATGTAGAGCTGGAGTCCTTATCCTAATGAGGCAAATGCATGCTTTTCTTACTGTACTTAAACTGTTTCAAATAATGTTTTCTAGTCTATCACAATCCTTATACTTTTGTTGTTCATACATACTGGTAAGTCATGAAAATTGCTCTCTTGAAGGTGTACCACTTAACCACAGATAAGGGAAAAGACGATGCTTTCTTTTTCAACAGCTGATGTTGCTGCAAAATATAGGAACTGTAATCATTCTACAGCTCTAAGAGAAAATATGCTCATGGTGCAGCAATTCAAACACTCCTTGGGAAAAGGATTAAAGGGCTTTGTTTATTACAGAGTTTTGAGAGTTGAATGACATCCCAGTGCATTCTCTGTAATACAATGCCAGGCTTTTCAGTGTCTCTCTAAATGTGTGCCATGACTGTCCTGTCATGGTGTCCCCTTGAATCTTTTAGTAGATATAGCTGCTGCTTGTTTCTCCTAGCTGCTTAGAGGGGTTTAAGCCATGTGCATTACTTCATATGCTTCAGTATTAATATTCAGATGATAGCTTGTGTGATCTACCATCAGTGTACTCTTAGCAACTGCTAAGAATACTTCAGGTTGCTAATGTCAACTGTTTGATAGGTTTGTTTAAAAAAATAAAACAATGCACAAACCAAGACTTAACACTGCCTGAATTATAAACTTTCAACAGTCTGAATAGATCTGCTGCCTAATGTGTGTAAAGGGTTAATTTAAAAAGAAAATACTCTCATCATCCTTATAACAAGTTTGGTTGTACAAAGGACTCCAGAGATGCTGCTTCTGCATCTACGTACTTTATTCTGTTCTTGTGCAGGATCCCAGGAAGGTTCTGTTGGCTTTCACAGACTCAGGCCAGCCTTCACTTGTATAAACTCCAAAGCAGGTGACCTGTCGAATAGTCACATTTTACAGTAAGAGGAAATACCAGCTTCACTCAGGAGATAGGAGTTTCACCCTATCAGTACTCCCTGAATAATTACACATACAAGTACAGTTCATTGAGGATGAAATGGTGCATATGCCATACTTCAGTAGTTGCATGAGTGTTATGTATAAAGTATTGTTCCATTTGCTGGCATAGACTGCATCAGATTGATCACCTGGAGCCTGACATGGAAAAGATATAATGTGCTTGGCTCCCAAATGCCTGCCTCTGGCTTCTGTATATTTAAAAAAAATCTAATTAAAGTTGTCACTTGTAGTGGTGATTTAAAAGTAATATGGAACTAGTGCAATACATTACAAAATATTAATGGAAAAAATCATACATTCATATTGCAACCCTTGCCAATGTTGATATGCAGCTGTTCCCCACTGAGGTTCTTAAATCTATATGCTACAATCAAGTAAAAGAGTACTGAGAAAAGTATGAAAAACAAATGTTCAGCATTACTATATATTTCTGAAGGAGTAATATATGCTTTTTGCTGTATCTGACCCAAGGTTTGAATATAACATTTAAATCACATTCTTTTGAATATATTAATTTGTGAAAAATACAGGGACAGAGTAATACAGGTAGGACAGGCAAGCAGGGTGTAATGAACCATCTTTGATGGTCCATTTGCATTTTCCCTTTCTAGGTGTAAGCTGAGCTGCTGGCACTAAAGCCCACCATAGGTTTTAGGCATTACAATAGCCACAGAGTATGCACTTGTGGTGGTCTTCCCATTTTTAGCACGCAGCACGTACAAAATAGTATGCACACTGTAACCTCCAAATCCTCTCAAAATCCCTAGGCCTTGAGAGAGCACTGTTATTTTGTATTCCCTGACAGCTCACGCACTCTTTTTTTCTTTTTGTAAGGGATATCTTTTGTTATCCTCTTTCCCCTCTTCTGATTTTTTTGTTAGTTTGTTTGATTTCACATCCTCTTTCTTTTTCACCACCTGTGGTTCAGAATCCTTTCTTTTACCCCCAGCTGTGCCACAAGTTGCAGTTTGCCCGCTGTACCCATGTCCTTTTGGAGCTTTCACTTCTTGAAGGAAAACACTGTAAATTTCATCCTTTTATCGAAAAACCTTAATGCTTTCTTCAGCAACCCATATCCCTCCTTTTGAAATGCAGGCTGTGCCATCGTCCGCCCTGCCTGATTTCCTGCCTCCTGGGGTGGTGACAGATGCACGTTGTCTCTCCTGGGTTCTCTGTGTCTTGGTAACATATTCTTGAGAAGTGCTCTGCTTGGGTACAGGATATTAGTGCTGGAACAGATTGTAGACACCACTTAAAATCTTTTCCTCTAGAGAAAGTCAAGGGCTGCTCTGATTAAGAAAGAAAGAGAGCATTTTAAGGGGTCTCCTCCGATTGTCTCTAGTCCTGCTATAGCAGCACTTTGCACCCTACTGCATGGAGTTGCCCAAGGGGGAGAGAGAAGCGGCCCAGCCGGTTTGAACAAGCCAGCCTTGGCACGTGTCAAATTTCCCTGGCGTGTCCAGTGAGAGGTTTTGCAGCGACAGACCTGGCTCAGGTCCCTCAGGAGTTTTTATCCTTTCGGTTCTGATCCCTCTGTTCCCTCCCAGTGCCTTCTCCCCGGCGTTAGCAGTGGACTCCCACCTGCAGAGGGCTGGGACTCACCTCGCC